TAAAATAAAATATTTTTAAAATATTTTTCACTTAAACTTTTATACATATGATTGATATACACTTTTCTTATATATTATTGAATATTCACAAGTCAAAGATAATAATAAGTTTAACAATTCAAAAGTTTTCTTTTCGAGTTTAATATAAAAAAAACTTAAATTTTTTTTTTATCTCACGTGTGTCAGCTAAAAGTTGCAAGAAAACTGTCGGTTTCTCTCTCAATCTAAACCGAATCCTAACTACCTAGTATGCTTACTAATTATTAACTACTCGAGCTCACCATGAAATCGAACATTGGCAGCGCGAGCACGGCCCCACTGTCAGTTAAGGGTATAGAAATTGATTTATCTAACTGTCCAACATCACCATATCTATTAAAATATCGGAAGTGTAACTCCATCAATCGTATAATTTCACAACTTTTATCATTTCTGGATCGCTAGACTATTGCAATCATCTTTCGAAAGTAATAAGTTCTCGATCGATCAATCCGTTATCTAATGAAGTCCCAATTCACATCATGCAAAAAAACAAAATCTTATTGCAATAATACGTACGTAATCTATTTGTTGATTTAATCAAGCGACATGGTTAATTGATTTCTTTGGCTATAAATATGGGATCCATTTAAGAGCCGATGTATACTTGCCATTCTAGTTCTCAAATTCTCTCTGTTTTTCTTTTATATCAAAGCACTCTATCCAATCCAACACAATGGTGGCTATCTTTGAGCATAGAAATATTGAGCAGAATGACCTTGGAACACAACTGAAGTTTCCAGGTAATGCCAACTTACCTAGTTGCTGGAATTTATCAAGCGGCAAGAGCTTGAACTTGGATGTTAAAGATGATCAGAAGAAAATTCACAAGCTTACCGTCCAAGAAAGGAACGGCTATATATGTTTCAGTGGTGATGGTTGGAAGAATTTCAAAACAGAGAAACGCATTGAAAAGGATGACAAGATCAGCTTTTACAACTCTGGAGTTGAGTACAGTATTAAAGTGGAGAAAGCTTAGCAAAGGGATCGTTAGTTGGATTTTATATATCCTTAATTTTTCCTTCCCTCTTCTTCACTTATCTCAAAATAAACGATCTCTTATAAGTGATTGTCAGTTAAGCCCATGATTTAGCTTGTGATATTTTGTTATCCTTTAGTTTGTGTGCTGTTTTTATCTATTGTGTAGACTCTAGGGTGATGTTTTTATACTGTTATATTATCATGTGAATTATTACCGTGTTTGTATGGTTGCATCTGCAATAAAATTAAAGTTTCACAATTGAGAAAATAATTTGAAATACTTTTTTTTTTTCTGCCAACATTCAAAATTCTCCTTTATTTAGATATATTTTAATACTAAGTCTAGAAAGAATATACATTGATATGGGTATTTTCTCTACCGGTGCACACCGTGAGCCATCCAAAAGTGGTACATAAAAGACTTCTTAACATTAACAATCATGTAAAATAGCTTATAATTAATTACCAAAAAAATGTAAAAATAACTTATTATCAATTAATTATATTAATTCGTTGACAGAAAAAAAAAAATTAAAGTGCATGATTTCATGTTGGCAAGGGAAAAAGAAGAGTTACTAGTATTTAATTTTTCTTTTTGTTTATTGCCCAGAATTAACTGCTTTTCTTTTTATGTTCTTGGCTTATATATGTTCTTGACGTATGTTTTTCTGTGGGCTCCATCCCACTCTCTTTTCACATATCCAGACAACAACAGAAATTGTCCGAGTCGGACAGCTGGTTAGCGAGAATTTTTCTACACTTCATGTTTGTAGCATTCATTACTTTCTTTTTTGCAAATGGTATTTCCTCATCCCAAATTAACGACTCTATGACCGTGTGATTCTATGATAATTTTCTTGAGTTTAATTAATGATCAAGATGTTTTTTATAGTAATAACTTGAGTATTTCGCTGTTTGACTTATATCTTTTGACTCAATTAATTTCACGAATACTTATAACATTAATTTTTTTGTATGGTGTAAGATGTCATCCATTGGGTTGGTAATAAAGTCGGTTATGCTTTCTGTAACTATGCAGAGGGATGTTGGTTTTGTAATATTGTCTGCTGTCGAGAGCAATGGTGTTTCTGTAAACTCTTCTACATATTGAGGACATAGTTTCAAAATTTTCACTAATTAATTAATTAATCTATATATTATATTTTAGTACGAGGTTTAAGAAAAATATATTTGCATCACAAGTGTCATTGAAGAGAGCAATAACCGCCGCATGGAAGACTCTCTAACTTACATAACAATCAAGTAAATTTGGTTTGTCGGCTGTTTTACCATCCCCCTCTTTTAATAACATGTTCAGCCAAAATTTATCAAAAAAATAAAAACATGTTCAGCCAAACGGCATAGAACTTTCTAAATTCAACACAACCGCGCATGGCATTCGTTTTATCATGGGTAAGGTGTGTGCCAAATCCTTGCCCCTCGAGCTGGCGAAATTACAACGGAAAAAAAAAATCTAGCGAAACACTAGAATAGAATATACATTCGTTGGTGAGTAGAATCTCTATGGAAGTACAATAGTTTTTTACTTTTTTTTTTTTTTTGAATGGTCCCATATCAATTTACATGCATCTTAAAATAAATCATTTTTAAGATTTTAAATATGTATTTCACATTGTTTTTAATATAAAATTAGAAATTATTTTTAATATTACTTTTTATTATATAATTTAAAATTTTTTAAAAAAAATAGAAAGCTAAACTTTCCATATTGATAACAAGGCCTATATTCCAATAATAGAGATGAATCAAATCCATAAAAGTAATGAAAATAAATTGTACTTGGGCCAAGAGTTACTTTTACATTTTTTAATAAAAAAATTTATAATTGCTTTACTTTTCAGGCAGTGTTGTGTATGGTCGGTGCGTTGTTGGCCAGTAATCGAGACAAGTGCCACAATTTATGTCCGCCTTACAAGGGCAAGTCCCAAAAATAGGGGCGGATCACCGATCTGTACCCGCGTAATGAAAATGACCTCATCGTTGTGACATCATATGTAAATACCGCGCGCGAAAACTACTGTTTTTTTTTTTTTTTTAACAAGGGAGAATGCACAGGAAAAGAAGAGTAGGGTTGAGATTTGAATCTAATACATTATGTTTACCACACTCGTTCAAGGGAATTTCTGTATTGTATGAAAACCTAAGTCGTCAATTGACAGTTGTCTTGCCGGCGATGGACTTAATCTTTCACAAGTTCACATAGAATGACAGAAAAAGACAAGTTCAACTTCGATTTATTAAATTTATCAAAATGTAAATTAAATGCATTTTAGTTGAAGATAAGTCGAGTAGTTCAAGTTCTTCTTTTAAAACTGATAAGTTTTTTTTTCTTTAAGTAAAATACAAGCAAGCACAATATAGAATCATTTTAACAATTGAATTTAAAAATTAATGTCTAGTAATTTAAATAATATTCATAATATATTATATTAACGGTCACCTAGCGCATTCCACTTGCTCGCACGGTCCCACGATTCATGCCTAAGAACTTCGCTGAGCATTGGGTAAAGTTGTAAATTCAAAATGGTGTCACTTAGTGGGCTAAATAAAGCCCAATGGTGCAACATGGTGGACAGAACAAAGCCCAATTGGTTTCACATGATGGATTGGACAAAGCCCAGCAGCCTGAAGGAAATCCAACTATCCAAGGGAATTGCATTTGTCTGGCCCATTTTCACTCTTTGCATCCCTTACACTAAAGGCCATTTTCATTTTCAAATGCATTGCAAAAGCAACTGGCTAGGTTGTTGTTGTTGGTTTTTTTTTTTTTAATAATAATAACGTAGTCTCAAGTCAATTGGTTAATATGTAGAGGCTAACGCTCCTCAATTTCAAAATTGTAGATTATATTGCTGCAAATGATAAGTTGTTTCTATATTTTTCTTGAATTATGTACTTATATTGAATCGTTCTAATTTGTACCCCATGCTTTTGTTTTTTAATATATAAAATTATCAAGATTTAAGTAATTTAGTGTTAATTTTTTAAATAAAAATAAAAAATTTTAAATTTAAATCACATCATATATAAGTTGAATAAGTTATAGAATAAAAAAATCAATTTTTATTATGTAATCTAAAATTTAAAAAGAAATACAAAAGTTGGGCTTTCCATATCAATAAAAAGGCTTATATTCCAATAATGAAGATGAATCTAATCCATATAAGTAATGGAAAAAATTTGTACCTAGGCAGTTGGACTAATTGTTGCTTCTACGTTTTTAAATAAAATTTAAAGTTGCTTTTAGGCTCTATTGTGTTGCGAATAGTTGGTGCGTTGCTGACCAGTAGTCGCACAAGCGCCGCAATTGATGTCCGATTTGCAAACGGCATATCTTTCGTCTCCAAAAATATTGGGACAGATCACCGACCTGTACCCACGCAATGAAAATGACTTCATCGTTGGAATATCATGCATCGCGCGCCCCTATGCTAGCTCTGTACCGTATGAAAACACCTGAGCCGTCAATTGACAGTTGTGCGCTGCACTTAACCGTCCACGTGGAATAATAGAAAAGGTCACTTCAAATTCTATGTTTTAATTAATTCAATTCGCTGTTTTACCATTGAAATACTTCATACTGTAAAATAATTTTTTGAAATTAGTTCTATCAAAATATAAATTAAATGTCATATTAGTTAATTTTTATGTCAAAGCATAAACTAAATTGCCTAGATTAATTGAAGATAAGTAGAGCAATTCCAGTTCTTCTTTTCAAATTGAAAAGTGTTTTTTTTTTTTTTTAAATGTAAAACACAGGTAAGTACAATAGACTATCATTTTAAGTATAGAATTTAAAAATTAATGTCTAGTAATTTAAATAAAAATAATGACAAAAGAGATAAATTATATGAAATTAAAATTTAAGATCAATGACATAATATGAGTAATGTTATTTAAAATATTAAAAAATAAATTTTATATTATTTAATGATTAACTATTTTTATTTTATTAAGACATGTGAAATTGTATACATCAATATATTTAAAAATATAACTAATATTACATTATTGGTCTTAAATTTTCATCCTTTATACCACTGCTCTTTAAATAATATTTATAGATATTCTATATAAATAAAAAAAAAATATTTTTCAAGTTAACCTACCCAAAAATAAATAAATACTTATAAAATTATTTAATGCCTTAAATAAATTATTATGTATGTTAATTTATTAATAATATATATTTACCTTCTTTTATAAACATTCCTCCAGTTTTCTTTTACTACTAATCGAGGTAAAAATTCACAATTCTTTAATAATATCTCTTGAACCATTAGATTTAAGAATCAACTTCTAATAATTTTTTTTTTTTTATAAAAGTTAAATATTGTATATAAGTTGGCGAAAGATAAGTTGAACCGGCCAAAGTGCCTTTAAAAAAAAAAAGTTTAATTGTAAAGAGAATATTTAACTTTTCGGTCAGCTAATGGTCCACCAACGACCTTAAGGACTTGAGCTTCAAAGTTCAAACATAAATTAATACGCTAAAAATGCCATAATTAATCATAAGTTTGAATCTTACAAAAGCAAAATAAAATCCTAACTATATACACGTACGATAGTAATTAACAACTCAAGTTAATGAAATCAATTAAAAATTGTCCGCGCAAGCTAGTGCCGATGCCAGAAGTTAGAACAGGTTGACTAATTAATCTATCTCCACCTACATCGATCATTTTATGTATACCTACTACCTTAATTTTAAAATATTCGAATTTTGAGAGTGAACTCCGTCAACACGCACGTCTAGACTTTTCCAACGTTTGGGTCGCAAGAAACTCACCGCAACCATGTTTGGAAAAAGACAATCGATATCCACCCAGTATTTGGTAAAGCCAACCCACATGCATGTGAAGACAATGCTTAATAGAATTATCCATGTGGTCTCGCTGTTATAAATACACATGCAGGGTATCCAAAAGAATCCGCACTCATCAAGTTCTCAAATTCAAAGCATTTGTACCTAGCCAACACCCAGCAGTAGCCATGGTGGAGATCTTTAGGACGTACGTCGAGAAATCTGATCCTGATCGTGACGATAAGATATTGAAGCTTTCCGGTGATAATAAGGAACAACTTCCGACTGATGATCATCAGTTCGATGTGAGAGATATAAAGGATAATACATGGAGATGTAGCCGCAGGAAACGGCACGGTGGTCAGTACTATCTCCATGTTGATGGATGGAGTCGTTTTGTGAGCACATTAGGCATTAAACGTCGTAGCACGATCGTGCTTCGCAAAAATGGTGATTACGAATTTGAAGTCCAAAATAATTGATAAAGTGGTTGTTCATATTTTTATACATTCTTTGAAGTATTCTCTAGTTAAGTGTCCTTTTTAGAATAAAAAATGTTTTTTTCATGGTTGCTCTACACTTAAAAATATTAATTTAGAATGAGAGAAAGCAAAAATATTATCAATAATATTTTTGTCAATTTTCATTCTAAATTAATGTTTTTAAATGTAGTACAAACTGAAAAATACCATTATCTTTTTAGTATAATATAAGATACTATTTATTAAAATTGTAATAAACTCGGTTATCCTTTCTATTACTATGAAGAGGGATGCTGGTTTTGTATTGTCTGCTGTCTAGAGTAATGGTATTTCTGTAGAATATTATGCTATTAATATAAAATATCAATAAAAGTTTTAACACTTCTATATATTGAGATTTGAGAACATAGTTTCAAATTTTTTACTAACTAATTAATTACTCTGCATATTATATTTTAGTATGAGGTTTAAGAAAAATATATATTTGCATCACAAGTGTCATCAAAGAGAGCAATAACCACCACATGGAAGACTCTAAACCTTAAATATTTTAAACATGCTATAATTAGGCATGAATTAAGTATTATTTGGCTGATAAAAAAAAATT